ATAGCATTACCGAAAAAAAACAAGGGAGACTGGAGTGGCCAACTCTGCCTTGCTAGCCGTCGTCAGCCAGCCATACCAAACGCCAAGTTTGCAACCTCTGCGGTTTAAATCAACGCTCTGTCGGTTAGAAGTCCAACGCTCCAGCCTCTGAGCCACGGGCTCATTGTTCTATCGACTGTGATCGGGCATGTTAACTACGGTTGAAGTCGCTCATCGGTTGCGCCACGGGCGCATACCTGTCCTCTTGTACCTTGGGGTCCAGTCTAGAGCCCTACTAGTGGCAATTCACTTACTGTGTCCTGTGTCCGCATGTAAACATACATGCAGAGCCTAACATGCCGTGGGGAGGTTCTCAAGATGTCCGAGTGATGTCACATTCGCATGTCAGGTTTCCAACACCTCTCTAGCCTTTCACGCATTCCATGGACCCAGAATCCAGGCATTCCAGACGACTTAACCTTGTACAGAAGTTGCCCCATGTCTTGCCACCCGGTAAATGGGATTCCTTTTTTCTCCATCTATCCCGGGCTGTTGATGGTATCCCAGTCGCTTCATTTCCGCATCATCGGGCTGATGTCCTCGAACTTGTCTCTCAAACTTCCTCCGTGGTCAGTCCTGTAATGCAGATCACCCATGTGCAGAGGCATCCCAGCACATTGCCGAGTTTGCGCGTCGATTACATCAAACACAGACATCTCTATCGTTCGCCTACCTGCCGTTACCCAGGTGGTCACTCTTGATGGATAGATCGTGCATGCTATAAGGGCGTCCCACTGTTCCGGAAGACAACTAACATCAAATGTGGCTGCCGAAAGCGATATAGTAGAACATTTTGCACTAAATTAATTTCATTGCTGTTCAATCTAGAGGAACTCTGTAGTTGCAAGAAGAACCTTCTCCTCTCACTTCCTCAGAGCAGTTTTCCCGCTTACCTCGGTGTATGGCTTGATCCCAGAGAACTCTGATCAGCCCGAAGTATTTGCGGTAAGTAGAACCACTTTTCCCCCACTCATTATCAGATATTTACATTGCTGATATGGCTCTCTTAACTTCTGAGGGCACTTGATTAGGAACAGAGATAGCCTGTCATAAGGGATGTCCTAATAGTCGAATTTACAGACTGTCAAGTTTATCCTTTACGATAGCTCCACAGGTTTCGAATTCCTTTTGATTTGTGGGCAAGGCAATTACGTCGGGGGAGCTGGAATACTGCTTTGGACGCGGATAATAGAGCACACAGTTGTAGTGACGAGAGATGAGGCCGGCTCCCAAGCTGCGACTCATTCGACAAGACCCGGTCAGACATTCAATTTCGGCTGGAATGAAATTCTCGCAAGAGGTGACAACTGCGTGAACCGCGAGCTGCTTGAGTCATGGTTTTTGCGACTGCAGTCGATTAACAGGCTCAAAAAGCCCCCCGCTTCTCAACTGTCCCTTGGAACTCACATCTTCGCTAGGGCCGAGAAATCCTTTTACCGGGTACCTCCATACGAAGTCAACAACAGGAGATCCCCTTTACGTCCTGCATCTGGCCACAGCAGTGAATGCCATTCCAGCCTAAGTCCCAGCAGTCCAAAATAACACGCCATTATCATGCAGGAAGGCGACCTTAATTCAATACTGCTACACTACCCCAGTCTGAACGATAGGGAACCCAAGTCTGACTATGGACAGTCAAGGCACTTTCTACCCTATTTAGACCAATTTTGTTAAGAGCGCTTATTCAGGGGCGGCCCTAGTGGGTGTTTAATTGCCTTTAAAAATACGACCGCTAAGACGCTGGATCCGAACGCACAGGATCGAACCTCGGCAGTTGTCGAGCACAGTTTCAAATTCATTCGTGGGTCTTGCAGCGGTTATGCAGACCACTTTCCTCGTCAAACTCATTTCGATAGAGGTTTAGCTCTTAGTGGTCAGTTATCTGACTGGAATTTGCTCGCAGCATTCTATCTCACCTCCGAGATGGAATCACAAACTGGCAATCTCTTGCTGAGCAACAAAAACGACTAAGCTAGCGGTCGCAGGAGCCAATCGATGATGTCAGAAACTGAAACATCTGACACGCCCGGTTAATGCACGCTCTCTTCGGTCAGGATGAGCCCTTGCGCGCGATGTCGCAGTTCAACTAAAGAACGGCGACCAATGGGCGGCGAGATTATATAAATGGGATCGGCGGCGAGAGGGCTCGCCTATCTCGAGAATTCGAGATTGAAGCAGGTCGACATCGAGCCCTATCAGGTCAGTCACTAGAGCAACTAACACCCACGACTGGAAGCATGTGCAAACATATTGCTCAGACTGTCAACGAACGAGGCTTAACCGATAAGCCGGTAATACCTTAAGCCAGAATTTATACCAGTGCCCCTCCCCCCCCCCGTTATGGCACGGTACTCGTTTTAAGTCTGCACACTGGTCGGTGATACGCCTGACAGGCACACAAATAAACCAGAGCCGGCCGCTGCCACAGTTTCCCCCGTCTCTGTTGACTTGCCCCTGTTATCTGGCCAGTCCTAACCTTTATTGCTCACCGACCCTTTCCGCCGTCTAGTTTCTAATTTCTTTGCGGGTACTCCACTACACGAGCAGAACCAACCACGATTAGGCCAATTAACGCCCCATCCCCTCCCAACTGCATGCGAAGAGTTTCAGATTTAGTAATGCCGACGAGGGAGACAGTGGAATGGACACTTGTGGCTCATTTGTTGTCAGCAGCCAAGATTTGAACTCAGTTCTAGTCGACAATCGAGTATTCTGCGCAAAATTCCCATCACATTGGCCAGGGCTCATTTCCTGCCGGCTGGGATCGGGAATTTTCGACGTTACGCAGGAGTGCTGCTCACTAATTCATCAACCTGCTGATAGCCCTCGATGAATGTGCTGTCAGGACTATTTGATTCTGAAAAAGTCTCTCACATGGTATCCATAGCCTAGCTCTGCCAGCGAGCAAGCTCATGTATATTCGTACACATCTGTAGCCTCAGCTGTTCAAGCCCAGCATTTGTGAACTGACATCGCCGCAGCGGCGTCACGTGGAGGACTATGACAGTTCGACCGTCGATTTCGATGATTTCCACCGTGGGCCACACACCTAGGTGCAACAGGCACGGTGATGTGCGCGTGAAATAGTTTATATTTACAGCAGACTTGCGCAGAATCTACCGCACTCTCTCTCTCTTCCCCACTCCCCACCTGGACCCGGTGTCAAGACAGAGTCAAGAAGACCGGAGGCGAGGGGAGGACGCAGGTGGCTGCCACGGCTGGATCCGCACACCCCCTGATCCACAGCATGGACTTGACGGGGATTTTTCACCAACAACAACACCCCAACAGGGGTCAGAGGGACGAGGGTGATGACCGGGCAGTCATGCCCACCACTTGTATACCCAGCGGGAGCGCAAGCGCATCTACCGGCAGGGAACCAGGTGTCAGGAAACTGCCAGCACATACTAGACTGAGAGGGCCATGGTTTGTTGACACGGGCATTGCACACGCTTTGAGACACGTGGGGGACTA